CCGAGGGGGGGGGGGTAAGGTGTATTGATCACAATTTCCGCCTCTCGTTCGATGCCCGTTCTCTTTCTTCCTCCAACCACATCCTTAGCATATACATCATCGGCACCAGCCAGGTTAACCAAAATGAAGCCTCCTGAAACCGTGCACCCTGTGTCGGTTGCGCTTGTTTGACGACCCCACAATGAGCGGGCGGGCCACGGCAACGAGTGCACACGGCATGCACGATCTACAGCAGTACGGCCGTCGCAGAATCGTTCCCCTATCCCTCAAGCCCCTCCCTGTACTTACCTCTGCGACCACGAGCGCGGCACAGAACATGTTCCTTTTCTGTTTCAAGAGCGAAACTATTATCTCCGAAAATACCACTCTGAAAACATAGGGACCGTTGTGATACTCGCTCTTGAATACAAATGGTCCCTACAATACCAAAGAGAGTGGTACGCCTACAATCACATAGAGGCTGCCCGTTTGCGATACGGCAGTACGTCGTGCGTATGTACCTGGAGCATGAATCCCGGGATGACCCTGTGGAAGATTGTGCCCTTGTAAGACTTGCCGTCGGGTGCCTCCCCGGTGCACAACTACAACAAAGCAGCGCACAGAAGGGGGGGGGGGAGAGGGGTAGCGAATTAGTTCCCCAACGCAACAGCTACACAGCCGACAAGCAAGGTCGGGGATAAGTGCGCGGTGTGCTTAAGATAGAGAAAGGGCGAGCGATTCAGCCTGGGCTGATCGTTGTGGTAAGCGCGGTGCTTTGTGCGTCGCAGGAAATGACGAAAGAAGTGAGGGGTTGCGTGGCTCGGTGGTGAAGAGTCGAACCAAGATCTTCCGAAGCCACGCCGCACGGTGTTGTGCTCCCATCCACGGTATGGCAGCCTCCGCGATGCACGGCCTGAACTTACTTGTTATCTTTGCGTCTCATCTGTACGTGTGGTATTACATTGACGCACGAGCTTGGGTCACACAGGAAGAGGGGGGTGTTCACGTGTACTAACTAGTACGGTGCCTCCAAGAAAGAATTTTTCATCAGCTCGTCTTGCCCATTTGCAGTGTTTACTCACGACAACAGCAGTTCTCTATTTCTTAAGCGAGCCGTGGGATACGTTTCTGCCTGCCGCTGCGGGTGCTGCAACGTCCCTTTCCGGCCGGCCGCCCCGCCACATTCCTCTTTTTCGGGGCCTCGATGGACCAGAATACTCTCACCACGGACCTCCCTCGCTAGAATGTTGCCCCATGTCTTTGGCAAGGTTTTCGCCTTGTCTACCACCTGAGCATACTTAGCCATGCCACTTCCACCCCAAACCCAGATCTGGGCGCATGAAGGGTGCTGACCTGTACCAGAAAACACCGTGAAATACGAATCGTAGGGCGGCTGCAAGCATCTACCATGTGCTATCTACGAACACACACACGCGCCTTTGATTGATTAGTCATCCGGTTAGCACGGTCGATGCAAAACAAGTAAAAAGACACCCACGCGCACCTGTCGGAAGTTTTCGGCGGTCTTGGGCACCACGTCCGACCGCAGCTGCATCAAGATACGCCCCTTGTCCTCACCATTGATCTCGATGTCGAAGTAGACCTTCCGTGAGCAAGTCGCCATCATCGCCAAGAAACGAAGCCCAGCAGCCGAACCCACACGCCAAAGCCCACACACACGAGGAAGCAATTACAAACACACACACACACGAGATATGAACCGCACGAAAAAACGCCGCGGCGTGGCTCTTGCCTCGTGCACATGGAAGGTGTTGCGACAACGACGTTGGCAGGTTATGCATACGGATGCATAGTCTAGACAAAGACGAATACATAAGGAGCACAGGCGAGTTCACTCGAGTTCGCGGTGTGCGAGCGAGCCAACCCATTCGGCAGAAATCGTAAACGAGCGAGTCACACACGTTCGTAGACGCAACAGTGCCACGCAACAGCAATACCCGGCAAGCGAGAATCACGAAAGTCTACATACATACGTACAGGGTGGCAGAGAGGTAGGAGAGACAAGAAGTTTATGCATTCAGTTTGGCACGTTGACGCGATTCGCTCAGCTCAGCCCCTTGCTCTCTTCAACGTCCTACTGGGCCGGCCGAAGACAGGGGATGGTTAAAGCCAACCTCGGAGATAAAAGCGCACCACAGGCAAATAAAAAAATACGACAGGGGCAAGACGTTAGAAACGGGGCCGGACTTGCACGCGGCGGCGGAACAGATAGCGGCGGGACTTAAAAGGGGTACCTTGGGGTTGTACAGGTCGGAGGCAAGCCCTCGGAAAAGCTTCAGCTTCACCCCATCTTCTGGCGCGTCCATGAGCTTCTTCATGCCCTGCGCAAGGAAACCAGAACAACCAAACCAACAGAAAACGAGGAGCAGGTCTGCACGCGAGCACAACCGGACTTCAGACGTCTTCCGCCCACGCCCTTCCCCACGTGACGTCGACCGACGCTGCTGCTGCTGTGCGGTGCAAGCGATTCACTGCTGGCGCGTAGCGAACAACCTTTCAGGCGTTTCGTGGTCCGCCTACAGTAGCAACGTGGAATAGGCCAGCGCAAGGAGGGCAATTGGTGAAACGGTCCCGACTTGCTCCCGTCAAACCGGCGAAGGGACCCGAGCCGAAAAAACTTCCGCGCGGCAGGCAGGAGACAAGCAGATCCACAAGAGTGTGGCCGCTGCTACTCCACCTCTCCCTCAGCAAAAAAAGAATAACGATCAGATCGAACGCAAAAAATCAATCGTGGTCAAGGGTGCACCCCGCCGAAGACGTGGCCGGAAAATCGAAACCAACACAACCGATCGAAGTGAAAGGCCAAAAAAACACAACGTACATCTATATTTATCGACGAAAAAACTCGATTGGCCAATGAAGAAAGAAACGGTCGAACTTGCGGCGCGCGGCTTCCCCGCCCCCTTCCTCTCTCACCTCGTCGAAATCGATACCTTTGACGTTTTCTCCCTGCACTTCCAAGAGCTGGTCACCGACACGCACGGTGCCATCCTCCTGCGTGCGTAGTTCCAACAAGCCAAGGGTTGTGCACCACACACACACATGTGTCCTTCACTCACGGAGCCCCGTCGACAGGCGACAAACGAATATTCTACGTAGTGCGCAAGTGAAAGTTAGTGTTGACATCTGCACGGTTGGCTCTTGGCGGTGGGGTGCACGTGCAGATACGTGCGGGCTTATGGATACAAGGTGCGGGGCGACGACCCGTCAGGTGAACGCGTGCATAGTAGTGTGCAAGCAGTGTATTGCAAGAAGAGCCGCCAAGAAACAACCGAGCTACTTTGGTTGCCGCTTAAAACAGCCACATTTTTGGCCAGGATTTGGCACGTTGCGAGAGAAAAGATCGACCCCCTTCACGCCAGGTACCGGCAGGTGCTTTATCGTATGCCAGCATGCGCCGGCATCCGAGGAGAACAGCAACAAACGAACAAAAAACCCATTCATCGCACATGGATCATGCATAAGAGGTCCTCGCTGCGAAAAGGAGTAAGACCTGCGTTACTCGCCCAGTACAATTCTCATTCGAACCAGCCACGGGACCGAGAGTCAAGTACTTCGAGAAGTAGAACGCTGGCGAGCAAAATGCCAGTCCGCGAGTTATTTTTATTTGGTGCATAAGGCACGGCAACGATGATCATAACCCCTCCCCTACTATCAAACCATTAGCCGCCAGCTGACGGCCACATCCTCCCCCAATCCATGAACACACAACCCTATGTCCTGTGCCTGCAATGCTGGGGGGATCACTAAATCCATGTTGTCAAGGCCCCCACCAGTACCTGTGGTGAATGGGGGAGCATCCTCAACGGCGATCTGCTCGTGACACTCGCGTAGAACCTTGGGGAATAACGCGAACCATCCTGCTATGCAGGAACGCTGAGGAGCCGGTCTCTGCGCAGACGAGGGAGTGCACAAACACCGGTGCCTCAACCTTCGTCCATAACAGGATGGTTCGAGTCATCCTCAAGACACTACGCAAGTGCCACGTGCCGAAGATTCTTCCCCGTTTACCACAGGCGCTGGTAGGGGAAAGGGGCTGAACGAGATGGATTTGGTGATCCCAAGATTACACGCAGGCGATAAACAGGAGGATATGCACCTGCACCGAGATGTCACAATCGTCAACCCATGTGCAATGTAGAAGCATCGACAAATCGATTCAAACGACAGGTTCCGCCCTCGAAGATCGAGCTGCAAGTAAGGCAAACCGCTATGCGGGAGATTTCAACTTGTCTAGATCTACTCTCCTTGTTGCCATTTAATCAACGTATGGTGGTCTTGGCAAAGGCACCCAATCCGTTAATCTTCGCTATGGCCAACCATCTGGTCTACAAAAAAAATTGTCAGGGGAGACTTTGGCGATAAATCAGCCTTGCTTCGCCTCAAGGCTTACCATACCCACAGAATTCGGAGTACCTTTGAGCTAGATCGTTTTCTGTCGATACGAACTCGTGACATCTTCAAACAACACGGACTACTGGTCGACCGATTTCCACCACGGCCAATGTGTTGGGATCTCAATAGTGCGGGTGAAAAGGATGGTGATGCCAGTGAGGGTAGCTCTTTGGGGAGTGGGGAAGGAGAAGGAAAGGGGAAGTGAAGAAAAAAGTAGGGTTAAAGCGATGATGGAGGAGGAAAGACGGCGTGGAAGAGAGCAAGAGCATTGAGCCTCATGGCCTCACAACAAACGCCGCAGGACTTGACTGGACGTGCCAAAAAGTAGTGGGAATATTGGCGACGAGAGTAGCGGTGGAAAATGCAGGGAGGACGACGAAAGCACTCCGAAACGAACGCCCGTCCAAAGCAGTAGCAGCTGATGGGAAATACGTGCCGTTTTCTTCTGCTACTGCGAAGCCTCCCCCATGACGCCCACTTCACGGGGTTCCAGACAATGTCCTTTGGAAGCGCTTTTTGTTTCCAACCGCACAGAGACTGACGACGTCTGTTCATTGGTCAGCCGGTTAGCGCGGCCGGTATTAACAACAAAGACGTCACAACCCACACTGACAAGCCACAGCGGCAAGCATGTATGCACTCCACCAGCGTCACTACCCAAACCCTCCTCACCTGCGCAGAGCCACCGTCAGCTACCTCCTTCACCCTAAGCCCACCGAACCCTCCCACGTTTTCCTCGAGCACAAGGCCCATGGGCTTCTTCAGGGACACTTCGAGCTCCTCGGATTCGGCCATCCTCAGCCCCCCCCCGCCGCCGCGCCGCCGTCCTACGCCAGCGGCGGTAGCCTCATGGGAGGAGGATGCTACAGCTGCTGGTCGGCCGCAAAATACAGAGGTGGAGGCCGAGGGCGCCGAAGGCACCGCTGCTGTTCGAGCCGTCTTGAACGGCGGACAGAGAAGGAGGGGAGCGGTGGGGGAGAGGGCGGGGGGTTGTGTTATGATGTTTGTGTCTCAAGAAACGTGGTCGGATGATGGCAAATGATGGTATTGCCGTCGGCGCTTGCTGATATACCCATAGTGCTTCCAGGAGAGTATTAGACTACAGGTTGCGCAATGGGCGCAAGTGGGGGGTGGAGACGCTAGCATTTCCAACGCGTTGGTGTCCATAGAAGCCTCTCAACGCGGAGGTAGCTGAGGGAAAACGGGATGCTCAACTACTGTTGGTCTTAGCGATATTTTGGCGAATCTGAGCAAAGAACCAGTGACGCCGTTCGTCACGCGTGATGCCGAATTGCAACTCGGCAAGCCAACGATGCACATTTACATTCAATTTGCATGTACGTGCGGGGGAAGGTAGTATATGATGAGGGCATGACGCTCGATAGACAAATCTGTGGAGTCCACGTTAGACCAATGACGGCATTTGTACACAATATTGTCTGCGGGCGCCGTTTGTGGCAGTGCCGACGCTGCTGCTGCAATGCAGCAACAGCCCGTTCGCATTTGCATCCAACACATGGAGAGAAACATCACCCTGAGGTCCATGGCGCTCTCTTGAACGCGTTCTCTACTACTGTTGAATTCAACAGGAGGACGGTTTCGTCCGTCAGCAGGGTACTGCCGTCGCCAATTACTCCTGCTGTTTGGTAGTATTTGTTGTCCTAGGTTTGCTGCTACAGCAGTACCTTCGTTCATTCTGACCATGCCGATAACTTCTCAACACTACTGCCTGTAGTGCTGTTGTGTACACACAACACCTGCAGCAACTCACAACACCTGCAACAAAGGGGGGCCCGCAACAAGAATTCAACGCAAGTTGCCCACAAGAAAGCCCCACATGAATCTACCACGGGGTGTATCCGTCTTTCGTCGATCTTGAGACAGCAGGACAACGCGTCTCTCACACAGGTGCCAGGGACTTTTGCGGATATCACCACCGATATTTGTAGTTGGTTATCACTGTCTAACCCGATGCGGTCTAGAGGAGTACCAGTCCCGCCAGGGCGGTGCAGTGGAGACTGGAGACACCGGCCCAACCGTCCGGTTGGTCGTTGGCTATTCGTGATTACACATGTGCGACAATTTTCCTCACAGCTTCTCCCGTGCTACGTTCCCGGCAGGGCAGCATTAGGGGGATGCAGCAGCCTTGCCCTACATTTCGACGTCTGAACCACATCAAAGAGAGGTTTCATGTCAGCTTCGAGCACAACACCGCCAGCGCAGGGAGACATGAACATGAGCACGACGACAACCGCAGCACCAAGAGTTCGCACCTGCAGCGATGGGAGCACGAAAGCTGAACTTCTTGCTACTAGCCATGCCGAAACGCCGGCGAAGGCAAACCTTGAGCTCTTCTGCCCCACCATTGTCCTACGTTGGCCACGTTTAGTAGATCCTGGTCAAAGTGTGCTCCTCTCTCCGTCTCTGGTCTCTAGTGCTCACCTCGCACGCTGTCGCAAAACCCTCGAACCCGCCCACAACCTCATTTTCCTCAGCCGGCGGCCCCCCTCAATTGATCCGCTTCACGTGCCGAACCGTTTTAAGTCGCTCCGCGTATAGATGAGACAACGAGAGCACGTACGTGTGAATGTTGCATCCATGGATGTTGCACGCTAAGAACAGAGGCGGCCGAAGATGAAACACCAACTCCCGGGTGGTGTTTCAACCACGTATTGTGGTGGTGGCACTCGCAAAGCCATCGTCCGCGCTGTGTGTTAGACCTCTGCCCCATTATCGTGATTTCATTTGGTACGTGAACGATTACAGAGCTGCGCGTCCCACACAACTTGACAAGATCGCTTGTATCCTGGCAGGATCTGGCGTAGAGCGAATAGATACGAAAGATTGTACTGTACATGCCTGTGGTCATAATCCGTTGACACCGAGGAAGAAGGCAAGCTTGTTTATGCCATCGCCCCTAGCTAGCAAAGCCGAAGTTGAATCCCCGTGCCCTGTACAGAAAGGATATTCTCGATGGGGTACAGGGTCGGGGAATCTCATTCGCAGTCTCATTCACTGTCTCACGAAGCACCTCCTCGGGTGCTCCATCGTGACCTACTGATTTCCTGCAGCTCGTGGTGTGAAGCAGCGGATATGAAAAAGATTTCGGTGAACCTCAGCGGTAACTTGACGTGACCTCGGGCGGGATAGGGAACAGGCTGTGCCAACAACGGATCTTATGCACGGCTTGAGAGCAGAGGCCGCCTACGCCTCAAGCAAAACAGTAGGCCTCCGCAACTCCAGCAAGTAGTGCCCTAACCTTGTGGGAGTGCTTTGAGCCCGTGATCTCCCTTGCGCCCAGGCGCGTCCGAGACAGGGTGTACTTGGACGTTTGACAACACGCTGCCTGTGCGCCTTCTGAAGAAGCACCGCCTGGGGCCAACCCTCCTTGTGCGGGAAGTCCAAATGGGGGACAGTACAATACCCAGCAGCACGCGAACCTTAGAGCCGGTGGAGAATCGCCGATGGTATGTATCACCATTATGTCCAATGTCAACCAAGCAAGAGTGTCCTCTCCGGTGCCTACGGCACGCCGCCACCGCCCCCCTTCACAGCTTCTTGCATTAGAGCTCGTGCCGAGCACCTGGGGGCACTTCGGTCAAGTTGAAGGCGGCACACCATGGCAAGTTTTTTCTGCGATTCATTCAATCCGAGAACCAACTCGCCAACACGGACGCAAAGCAAGCGTGCCAACGCGGTCGAACGCTTCAGCACCAACGCGAGGACCCACAAAAACACAAAAGGTGCGAGGCCTGCTAATACGACGACAACCGGCGTGTACATCCTCCAAAAATACAGGTTCCCCCTGGCCTGCGCCGGGAATGAATGGCCTACGGAGGACATATTTTCAACGCCATCCCGCCTTCTATATGCCCCGTGCTGACTTCGTCAATACCTCTTACACCCGAGAGCGGGCCGTGACACCTCCCGGTGCCTATGGGGCGGCAAGAGTAGGGTGCAGGGCACGAAGATGCACCCATCCGGTAGACTACCACCCGTGTTGCCGAAAATAGCACGGGAGGGTTGTAGCCATCCATATGGGTTTTACTTCTTCCCCTTGCTGCCTTTACCGCCCTTGCCCTTGGGTTGCTTGGCAGACTTCTGGGGATCACGCTGCGCGATCTTCTTGTTGGCCTTTTTCTTCGCCTAAAGAAATACACGAAACACGGCAGGACCGAAAGACGCACACGACCAACTCAAGCACGAGTGGACAGAAGATTGGGGTTAGGCTCAGCTGTTTTGGTGCTTGGGGCGGCAACTCAATAAAAAGGGACCGGCCACCACCACCACGGACGCCTCCTTCACCAAGTGCCATGAAGCAGCGCAATGACAAAAACAGACTGTCAGCACGGCCAACTGATTCTGTATTCCAGATGTTGCCTCTCGAAAAACCACTTGCTGTCGTTCGCGGTACCTAGCCCTCTCTCACGCAAGTGCGTGTGCTTGAGGCAACCCGACGACAAATGATACAGCACCCATCGAACAGACGGGACGAAAATACGCCTGGGCCTGTCAAGCGGGCTTCGCACCAACAAACCCAACTCCTTGCCAGGACGGACGTTCGGACACAAGTTACAGCTATAGGGAAATGGTATGTGTGCTGCTGCGTTAAACAGATGGCGTTGCCGCGTATCCCTTCGGTGCCAAAACAATACCGGCCGAATATCGCTGCTTGCAGCAGGGAGTGGACGACGAGGATTACTCTTTCGCGCATTCGCCGCATGCGCTATCAATTTATTGAAATTTGCTGCCACAACGCCGTATTTGACATCAATTGAGTTGCTTCCGCTTTTCCTACTCATGCATCTGGAAAATTTGCTGAAAATGAATACCGTACCGGTTTCCGTGCTGCTGCAATGTTTTTTCCACATTTGTTTCGGAAAATGGACACATTCCAAGTGAACGCTCTCCCTGGAGAGTCGATCAAAGACGGCCGAGCCTCGCCCCATCAGGAGGACGGGAATGGCCAACGCGGAAGGGCTTGTGGGGGTGGGGAGAGGGGAAAAAAAAAATAAAACAAAAACACGGGCAAGAGCCAAGACACTCCTCAAAATGATCGAATACCTCACCTGGGTTGCCTGGGCTAGCCCGGCCACCGCCACCTTGACATCTCCGATCATGGCAGCGACGCACTCATTGTCCGTGATACCCTTCATCAGTCCCTTCTGGGAGGCCGGCGTGTCTCTGGATCTCGAAAACACTTCTATCGCCTGCTTGGAGGCCTTCCCGCGCTTCTGCTTGCCGGGAGTCAGCTTCACCTGCGGGGTTCATGCGCGATTCCCAGGGATGCGACAACAGCACGCGGGGGNGCGAAAGCCGCTGCTGCTGCTGCCGTCGTGGGAAAATGACATTGGAGGGGTGGCATACTGTATGGGAGGCGAACAGCAGCGAAGGAGGGCACCAGCGGGAGCCGGGGGGGGGGGGGTGGGGGGGGGGGGGGGGGGGGGGGGGGGGGGAGGTTGTCGATACGATTATCACGCAGTCACACACGATCAAAAAATGACTGAAACGGAAGCAATCACGATCTGCTGTAGACCAAAACAGCAGAGGCAGCGATCGAAGGGATGAATTTTCCCGAAGAATCCACCATCTATGAACGAGGAAAACGGCAAAAAACACAACCTACGAGTGAACGAAGGCTTTGCAACACACCTGAGAGTGAACACGACAAAAGGACACGCGATCTATCAGAGAATTACACAAAAAAGTACGGTTGGATACGAGTTTCGTTAATGCACTACAGCAGGCAGCTTTTACCCCCTCGTAACTACCAAGACCATCCAAAACAGCAATACTGTAGTGGCATGTGTAGGATACGGCAATGTCACCAGCCTCCAAGGGCACGCACGTGCTCGGCTACAAACCTCCCAGTGCACGACTTGGACAGGAAAAACAGGCGACGCCATCATCATCATCAGGGCGCCTACCCACACGCTCGAAGGGACCTGTTGTCGTCTGTGCCGGCCTACTCCCGATCTCCATCCACCTTTCTGCGCGCACCACACCCCCCAAAATCTGCAGCAAACAACACTCGTACATGGAACCACCTAAAAACATGCAACCCTACAACGCCATGCCGAAATACCTCGTCGACGAGTCAGAGTATTCCCTCAAAACCAAAACTTCCCCGCCGTCTCTCCCGCACCTTGTACTTGTAGTCGCGCAAGCTCATGTACGGCCCGCAGACGGGGACGGCAAACAGGAGGACGTCCTCGTCCCGAGGCTTGCCGGTGAGCCTGTCGAGCTCGCTCGCACCGCCGCCATCGCCGCCGCCGTCAAAGTCTTCGCCGGCGGCCCCCTCCTCTTCCAGGAGCTTCCGGACCTCCTCCTCCTCTCGCTTCTTCTGTTCTCGGCGGCTGAGAGGCTCTTCTTCTCCTCCTGCTTCCTGATCCTCCGGTCTACACGCATCCCGCTGCTCCCCGTCTCCCTCGCGTGCCCACGTTGTTTTCTCGCCACCAAGACTGCCTGCCTCGTCGCCGTCGCCACCGCCACCTCCGGCCTCCTCCTTCTCCTCTGCCACCACTGGCGCCTCTTCCCCTCTCTCCACGGGGCACGCTTCTCCTGCCGCCTGCCTCTTTCCTTCCTCCCGTTTGTCTTCCGTAGGCGGGGCCGGCGGAGACACGCCCGTGGTAGCCGCCTCCGCTGCTTCTCCTGCTGATGCTGATACCGACGTAGCCGATACTTCTTGTTCTGCTGCTGCTGCTGGTGGCGGTGGCGGTAGCGCTGCCGCGGCGGCAGGGGCGGCGGATTCGGCCGCAGCCGTGTACGCAGAGCCGTGCTTCCGCATGATCCCGGCCAGGAAGCCGCTCCGGTTGCGCACCTTACGAAGGTCTGCCTCGGCAAACCTGCCGTTTGTATCAAAAATGCGTGCGTTCGTTCATCACAAGGGTACGCCAGAAGGTTGAGACCGCGCGGCGCGAACGCGTGTAAAATTGCGGGACAGCAGTAGCGTAGGCGCTTGGGCACGCAGCACGCGACTGCCCGCGATGACACTGTGGCAGGCGGGGTGGCCATGCACAGATAAGAACGCACGAATCCACTCCATCAAGCCTTGTGGGGAACCAGTCGAAGACCCACGCCCTAGTTTTCCCAGGGGGGGAGGGGGGGGCTAGCTCAAGACACAGGGGCCCGACATTCCTTTCCACGTGCGGGGCCTATCCCCATGCGCTCCTATGAACTGCCCCACCGCGCGGGTGATACGGGGAAGGTCCAATCGCAAGGAGAATGCCCCGCTCCCGTGTTTTCACTCTCCAACCAGCACCTGCTGCTACGGGGACAAGAAAAAATGCAACAACTACCGCTGGACTGCAAGGATCAAACAAGCAACAGCAACCCACAACAACAACGATTTCCTCTCACCGGTCGAGAATGTCGAGGGCGTCGGCAGTGTCGAACTTTCCCAATGCTCGAACCTCGAACGGGTCGAGCTCGTCGGGCTTAACGAGCTCCGACAGCCTGCCTCGAACGTCAGCGTCGAGGACCGCCAGAGTCGCCGCTAGCTCAGCCTCCGTCTTCCGGAGATCTGGTGATGTCGGGGTTGTTGTTCGGTCAGCAGAGAGGGGGGGGGGGGGGGGGGGAAAGGGTCACGAGACGACCCTCACCGCAGGGGGTCGATGCGAATCTCTCCCGGCTGTGATGGTGGAAGTCGATGGCACCCCTCTCCTCAACGATATTTGATGGTTCCGATGTCTACTGCGGTATCCACAGGTTCCCATTCATTCTCCCCGCCATAGACGGGCCTTCTTCTCTTAATTCTAACCGCCGATACTCACATGGGGACAACTGCTAGTACGTCCGCAAACTACGAGTCACGCCCCATACCGGGGCGTCACTCGCATTCTCATTCAGGAGGCAGAGACCGGGAGACTAGGTACATTCGAGAAGACAGAACGCGATGGGAACGGGTCCAGGGATGCCTAAAACAGCTGACAAGAATACATGCGCACCCACCCCGCCGTGATCCTTCATTTTTTGTTTATATCCTCCGTGCAGTAGCGCTCGACTAAACCAGGGAGAGAGAGGAAGGCCACCCTTGGCCACCGCCGGCGGTTTAGCGAGACTCACTTTTCGACGCCGCCGCTGCCGCCGCCGCCTCCGCCGCCGCTGCTTCAGCCCTGTCTCCCGGTCTCAGGAACCGCCTGCGACCACCGCCGCCTCCGGTGTCCTCGTCGTCCTGAGGCGGAGCCTTCCCCAAAGCCTCCATCGCGAGCTTTCGGTCGTCGTCATCCTTTAAAACAACGCCGTTTTCGGTGAAACGTCTAATTTGTTGCTGCCAAGACGGAGGGACGGAGACTACCGCAACAGAAGAATGTACTACCGTAGCAGCAGAAGAGTATTCATAAGACGTGGAAACGTCAAAGGGCAACCGGGACTCGTCTTTCGTGAAACGACGTTCATTTCGGGGACTGACTTGCGGAGTCGAGCATGCCAAAGGGCTGGCCTACGCCCAGAGAATAGGCCGCAACACCCGCAGGCAACAAGCAACAAGCAACAAGCAACAAGCAACAACAACCAACGGTAGGGTGGCGGGCCCAATTCCGTGGCCTCGGTGCGGCGGGCGCAGGCGGGGCGTGAGCGACCACGACACGACGAGTTTTCTAGTCAGACATTTTCTCGGCGGAAAAACACGTATTCACTGCCCGCGAAATGTGCTTGTTGAGAAGCAAAAGATATCGCACGTCGGGGACTGATGATGAGTATGCCTAACGCGGATCTCACGCAAGAGACTGCTCTAGTGTCGGCCTAGGGGCACAACGCGCAAGTCGCCCACGTACCTGCTCCGCGTATTTCTTCTTCATGCGCTTGAGCTTGCTCCGCTTGCCGCGTGGCACTCTGATTCTCGTTCGTTCATTCGTTCGCGGTTGGGAAAAGGAGGGAGAGGAACAAAGTAGTGCGAAATATTGAGGATGAAAACCAGAACAAAAGAGAAGAACGAGCACCAGAACGAGAACGTGAACGAGAACACACGAAACACCTATCGCAGTCGCAAACATCAGCAACAGCAGCAGCAGCAGCAGCAGCAACAAAACAACCACGCCTTCGTGAGGTTTGCAAGCGGTAATATCAAGCAGCAACATACGGTGAAGAAAGAAGACTCTCAAGCACAAGTCTTGAAGCAGCGCGCGCCAAAAATAACACGAACCTACGCGTCTCGTGCCAGCTTAGAAAAATAAAAAAGAACAAGAACGCCTGACTACAACGGAGAGGAGAACGCCGACAACAGCAATCGCACAAAAGTTCGCACTGACCTTAGGTTGGCGTTGTTGGAGCTCGCATCAACAACAACGTCCTTCTTCGCACTCCCTCCCCCCGCTCCACCGCCGCCGCCGCCGGCATCAACATCGTCCTCCGCGCCTTCGTCGAGGGTTTCGCGAAATGCTGTCGTCGCGGCGGGGTTGTCTTCGTTTCCTGCTGCTGCTGCTACTGCTGCTGCTCGTCCCACTTTGCTTCCACCCTTCTTGGCCTGTTTGCGTTCCCTGAAGAATGAAACGCGGCGTAGTGAGCGCAAAGGAGAGTGTGTGTTGGGAGGGGGAGGTACTTTGCGCTCTTGACATGTTCCACATTTTCAACGATATGCACACCGGTTGAAACTACCGTATTCCTGGTACGAAGCTCGTGGATGAGGTACACATGACAATCGTCTTGTCTTCTGTGTTAAGTTGACCGGTTTTCTGTCCTTCTTGGGTGGTCTACCGCGACGTTAAGGCAAGGCGGGTGGACTTCGGGTGTGAAATCAAGCGCCATTTACGGTCGGTGCGTGTATGTTTTGGGCAAGACAGTATTTCTCCGCTGAGCATAAAGTCATCGAAAAGAGTCTACGACATGTCAAGGCCAAAACGTTTCACATCCCAACACCCAAAAGGAATAACGCCCTCAGCGCGAAACGAAAATCTAGTTCGACGAACGACGCAGCATCGTGCCTCGAGAGTTTCGAAGCGCCGAAAATTGACCTCCGTCAGAGAAAACGCCCCCCAACCCCCCCCCCCCCCCGTTCTCGACCCCCCAGATAAAATTGTAACGACAACAAAAATAAAACTTACTTTGCCGACATTCTCTTCTTGGGGGCTTCAGGTGCCGCCACCAACCTCTGGTCCGCCTCGCCCCCTCCTCCTCGCTCTCCCCGCCCCCCGGGGGGGGCCCACGTTGCCGCCCAAGTTAGCTTCGAGCCCCCACCGCCGCCGCCGCCGCCGCCGCCGGTGCTCCTTCCTCCCGCCAACGCAGCAAGGGCGGCCGCTCTGCGTTTGGCCGCGTCGTTCTCGCCGCCGTTAGCGTCGTCGGCCGTCGTACCGTCCCCTCGCTTGCCGTCGAGTCCTACGGGCGCGTCGAAGCGGGCAGCCCTTCTGTCATTGGTCGGGGTGCAAGCAGTGCGCGAGAGGGTTGGGTTCGTGGATCAGGTGGAGTCTTCCGCGATGAAATTCGTGGTGTAGTTGGCCCTGGCAGGAACACGGCAAAACACCTTCGGGAATGAGATGTTATTGAAAAATAGATTGTCACGGGATGAACAAGGAGCTGTAGACCTTTGGAGTTTCACAGCAGTCGTTGCCGCAAGCCTGTCCTCCGATTTAGCGCTCGAGTTTCGAGGTTTGCGGTCGAAACACACGGGACTGCTTGGTCGTTGAAGCCAACTAAGTCGACCCATACCAAAAAAAAAAAAGACAGCAGGGGCGCTCGCGACAAGTATCTGTTGACTACTACCTAACGTTCCACAAACAAAAAAAGAGCTAATCTAGAGAGCTTGTCTTGTCTGTGTGTCGGCCTTACAAACATTGCACTCACACCCATATAAAACAACGACGACGGTCACGAACCCGAACCCCTACTTCGCGGCGTTGGAAAGTCTTTTGGGCCGTGACCCTCGTGCCCTTGGGCGGCCTGACGATGTCAAAGCACAACAAGAGATCGAAAAAAACAAAAGCTGGTGGCAACCACTCACGAGTTGTCCACAAACCCATATCCTTGCATTGCTCGCCTCAGTTTACACTCGACAGAGCAAGCATCCTCGACGTCCATCCCACTCCACCACTCGCGGCAAAGCAAACAACCAACTTCATCCGGTCACCTTTGCACCATCCCACCCCGCCACTCGCGGACGGCAGCAAACAACCAAGCTGGTCACCAGCGCATCCATCGACGTCCATCCATCCTACAACGCCAAACGACAGCAAACAAAACAAGTCCTTCTGGTCGCTTTGTACTCCCACCGATGTCCATCCCACTCCGCCACTCCACCAGCAAACCAACCCAGCCCTTCACCTGTCGCCGTTCTTCACCTCTCCTCCCGCCCCATCACTATCCCCGCCTTCGTCCCCCTGTCGGCCGACACCGCTGCCTCCACCCCTTGCCCTTGCCCCGCCGGCAACACCCTCCCCCCCCTCCTCCCCCTCCTCCTCGGCGTTGGTGAGCTTCTCTCGCCGCTCCCCCGCGTGCGCCGCCAGGCAGGAGTCGTCGAGCTTGAAGAGGAGAGCGAAGCCCATCTCCAGGGCCCGGGGAGGCAGGAAGTGCTTGCGTCCCCTGCACACGTGTGGGGTGTCAGGGATGGAAGCAAACATGACTGCCCTTGTCGTAGTAGCGGAGGAGTGCTGACGACTAGAGTATATGGGAGGACGGCGTGGTGAATTTTCGCTGATTAGGTAGGATAAATTCAAGATCTAGAGGGTGCGTGCTGGCTTGCACTAGTTCGTTAGCTAACAGCGGTTCAGTGTGCAAGAGAAGACTGCGGCGTAAAAGACAAGACAGGTCTGGAAAACAACATATACGTACTTGTCGGCTGACTGCCACGCGTACACTGAGAATGAGGTTGGCGAGTCACACGAATCCAGATGTACGCCAAAACCAAATCCAAATGACGGGAGCAAGGCTTTGCTTGTTTTTTCCCTTTCTCATCCTGTCGTCTCCAGGCGTGCGGATGTGGGAGCAGGCGGTTTGAAAACGTTCCGGACGAATCCAGGACAACTTTGAGAACAACCACAACATCAAAAAGAGCTAGCAAGGTGACACCCAAAAAAAAATCCAACGGTTGGCGTAATTTTCTTCAGCATGCTATCGCCTACGTTATTCTCGACCAAGAAATGATTCATTGTGTCAGTGGTACCAATGGTTTGGTTTGGTTTGGGTATTTTGTATGTTCAGTTTTGGGGACGCAGTATGTACCTGACCATGAAGGAACCGGTGACGAGGTACTCTCCCGTAGGCGCGGTTTTGCTAACCTAAGCAGGCGTTCGAGAAGTCAAGGAAGGGCGCCGGCGAAAGAAGGGAGGGACGGGGAGTCTCTTTTCCCTGCACGGCCGTAGGCAGTAATCAGAGCGGGAAAACCGTGTCCCCACGAGGCTTGGATAGGGCACAACCGTTTTGTGTTCCTATTCGACGGGCTGGTGGTGGTTAATCCTCAGGGATGGGGGATGCAGACAGGCGGAAGAGATTGCAACAGGTGCCGCACGCCTGATTCATACTCCTATCTAGCGTCGAACAAAGACTGGTCGGCAAGGCTAGCCCCTTTCGCTGTGTCTGGGGTGCCACCCCTTTGCCTGCCACGTAGGAGCAAAGCGCGTGCACGGAATCGCAGAGCCGACGGGTCGACTCGAACTCAAACAACTCGAAACTAGCACTCTATCTCCTAAACCAGTAGTGATGACTCCTTGGACTCGGTTGACAAAAAAATAGACTTGAGTAGCAGAGATAGCCAGGATAAAGGGAAGCGCAAACGACTCAGGCAGACACGCAAGCGCCGGAAAGTTCGAAACACGAGCCCATCGCACCGCAGCAGGACGAAAAAGATAAAAGTCTTCACTTAGTGTTGAAAATTGAAGAACCCCCTCTGCATGTATGCATGCAATACACCAGCAGCAGTCCGTGGAGAGGCGGCAGCCCAAAATCGCGCGGCAGGGTTCTCGCGTCTAAGTAGTGCGATTCCAATTCACCCCATGCATATATTTGACCTGATCAGCGTAGACCCACCACGCCGACGTGACCATCTTAGCCCCCCACGCCCCGCTCCTGCAAACGGTCATGCAGCCCGCCTCTTCCAGGGCCAAAGGCGACACCGCCCTCTTGCCGGAAGGGTCCTGATTTTTTTATATGATTGGGATTAATCGGACAGAAAGAAAATACACAGCACGGATCGATCGAGAAACGACGAGCAAAACACACAGCACGGATCGATCGAGAAACGACGAGCAAAAACCCAGCAGACACTCGTGAGCAAACGATCCACAAGATTGGAGGCACCAACAGCTAGAAACCAACATAGTTCTAGTTCCAGAGCGCAAGACCCATGAGAGGGCGACAACAACAGCAGCTACCAGCATAAATCGTGAGCAAACCATCAATAGGTAGGCGACAACAACAGTTAGCTACCGGAATACATTTCGTGAGCACGCGAGCCGTGGGTTGGGCGAGGGAGGCGACGAGGGCCGGTTCTCCCGAATGAAAGGGTCCGTGATCACTAAGCCAATCAACACTCGAGTGACGGAGATTTGCAAAAAAAAATACGAAAACGGGGTACGACGAGGAAACACCGACTGCCTGGGAGAAGGAGAAGGAGGTGGACGCGGCACTCAAAGCGTCGCGGCTGTACGCGGCCTTGATCGATGGCAACAGGCCGATGGAAGTCGGTCCAGGGAAATACTCAAAAATTGAAGCCAAGCCAGACAGGACCATACATAGTTCCCACTCCGTCTGTGCCAACGAGTACCCCTCCGAGCGAATCCGCCTCCACACGCACCTATTCCTTGTCCCGATGCCACAACAACAACAACAACAACAACAACGACATGAAATAAAGCTTACCTTGTTCCGGACGACGCATGAGGAGGCGCCGTGGAGGTCGGCGTGCACGTAGATGTCTCCGGGCCTCAGGTACTTCTTCACCACCACCTCGTTCTGCTGGGCGTTCCTGCCGCTGATGACGAGGTAGTTCTCGGACGAGATGAACCAGTTGAACTTCTCGAACCAGTACACCTTGCGAGCCACCTGGAGGCTCCGCTTGTGCGCCTGCCATGGCACACGTATTCAAACACATATTAATAGTAGGCGATTGCTAAGTATTTTTCGCACAATGACCTCTCGTCACTTTGCATGCGAGTGAGCGCGCAGGAACTTGCAAGTCTCACATTCACAAATAGGCGGTTGAAAAGCACCGTCCTTGTTGTACGGTGAGGTTCCTCACATGTCTCTTCGTTTGAAAAAGAGCTGAACTGAACTTTGGCTGTCGGGAGCCAACCCCGCCTCAATCTTCATACCTCCGCGACCTTCTTCGAGAAAAGTATTTTTCGACTCGACTTCCCCAGGCACGGGATCGACGGTCGACTTTCGAGGCACCCCTTGGTCAATCATGTTTTGTCGACTTTGGCGTTCGGTCTGAAGCAGCACTTGGACTTGACTGACTGACTGACTGACTGACTGACTGGCCGACTCCCTCGCCACCTGCACGCAACATGCTCATTCTATCTATCTATCTATCTATCTATCTAACTCTCTCTCGGCTACAAGGCCCGACACAAAAGCCAGTCGCGTTGGCGAAATCAACCGTTCATGTGACTCGTGAGTGCAGGACAGGCATTCTCAGTTGAAATGCCATGCATGCGTACTGTACAGTCTGTCACTTGCGATCGGCGCACGTGGTTGATCTGTCTGCAAGCGCAGAACCCACATGTACAATCGACCACCAGCGACGCCGTCTATACACCCGCCGCCTTGAGGGAGACTATCCCGCTGGTTAGTTGTGTGTACGGGTTACCTGACGCTGCAGGGTCCTCTCCGCCTGCTGCTCGGCGATCTTGAGAACTTTCTCCGAAGCCTGGGAACAGACCGCGGGGAGACATGAGACATGAGACACATACCGGAAAGCGCGGTCCGAATTACGGGTGGAGACGCCCCGGGCAGGGGGGGGTACTCATAGTCGTGCATGGTGGGGGGTAGGGGTAGGGGGATCAAACACGGATACAAGAAGCCAAGTGTCCGCAGCCGAACTAGCAAGCTGAGTAGATCAGACCGCAACCACAAAAGGAGCAAGAAACGGCCGGTTTCGCGCGACACACGTCCAAGGCACGAAGCGCTGAACATTCCTCAGAGTATCGAGACAGCTTGAAAGTTCCATCCGTGTAACACCGTTTCGCCGGCCTTGTGCGGGGCGACCAGCCTTAGTTATGCGGCCATACAAAGGGGCCACTACCGCTGCTTGCTGCAAGCGGAAGTTTCTCGACCTGTGCGTATGCCGGGACAAGTAAACCGTGAGCACATCAGCTACACAAACTAGCTTGCGCTAACGGTATCAAAATGTGCGCGACAGCAACATGACGAGCGGAGAGAGTTTCTGCACACACGTGTCAAAGTTTCAGAAACCAGCAACCCCCCCCCCCCCCCCCCCCCCCCCCCCCCCCCCCCCCCCCCCCCCCCCCCCCCCCC